AGGAACATTGAAAGGAAAAGGAAAGAGAAATGGCCACTAAAAGCCAAAAAATAAGCTGGTGGAGCTTTACAAACATCAGATAAACTACCAGACTTTAAGGCAAAAATCATTATGAGAAAAAAAAAAAAAAGGTCTTTATTTGATAATAAAAGTAAAAATTTACTAGGAAGATATAACAATATCAGATCTGTAGGTATCTCTAGCCTCAGGATATTGAAGTAAAAATTGATAGGGTTAAGAGAAGAATTTGACTAATTCACGATCATTGCGGTAAGATTTAACACACCTCTCTCAGAAACTGGTATCAGACAGAAGATTTAAAATACTGTAGATTTGGATAGGCTTCAGCTAAAGGACACTGAATCCCCAAATGAACAAAACCTGGCTATCTAAAAGTCATCTCAGTGTTATCATTCCAAAGCTCTCCTCCCAGCTGTCTCTCCCATCCTAGTTCGTGGCAACTCCATTCCTCCAGTGGTTCAGACCCAAAGCCTCAGCTTGCTCTTGGCTTTCTCACGTGCCTCTCTCCCAGCCCAGCAGCACTCTGGGTTGGCTCTCCCTTCAAAATGTATCTGAGAATACAACCACTTCTCATGACCTCTAGTGCTGGCCCCAGTCACCAGCACCTCTCACCTGGGTTGTTACGACAGCAACCTAATGTGTCCCTGTGTTCCACCTTTACTCCTGACCAACCACCAACCCACCAGAATGATGCTCACAAAATGTTAAGTCAGATCCTATGAATCTTCTACTCAAATCCCACTACTGGAGGTGTTCCTAACCTCTTTTATGCCTAGGGTCCCACTCAGAATAATGTTTTTAAATGCATATTACCATATATGAGCTTCATTAAATAAACATGATTCAGCAGTGGTCTAATAATTGTCATAACTTTGCTGTACTGATGAGCATAAGCAATAAGTGATATTTACACATATCTGCAAATCCATAATATGATAGGAAAATACCTGTGGTTTCTGTTAAACAGAAAGTTACGTCAGATCATATGAATCTTCTACTCAAATCCCACTACTGGAGGTGTTCCTAACCTCTTTTATGCCTAGGGTCCCACTCAGAATAATGTTTTTAAATGCATATTACCATATATGAGCTTCATTAAATAAACATGATTCAGCAGTGGTCTAATAATTGTCATAACTTTGCTGTACTGATGAGCATAAGCAATAAGTGATATTTACACATATCTGCAAATCCATAATATGATAGGAAAATACCCGTGGTTTCTGTTGAACAGAAATTTACAAGTACTGCAGACATTACTGTGATTTCTTGCCCACTTTTACAATGGAAGGAAATGCTAAATTTCAGTTAAAGCTCCGTGCAAAATAAAGACGTGATTTTTCACCTGAATTCCACCCATGCAGCCAGGTTAAGAACTGCAGCTATGTTTCCCATAGCATTCCAAGGAAAAGCCCAAGTCCTGGAGAGGCTAAGTGTGCCCCTAGCCCTCCATGACCACAGCTTCCTTCCCTGTGCCGTCTCTGTGGGATCTCTCCTGTCTCTGGCTTTCCCTGCTCCTCAAACATGTCAAGCATACTCCCTCACAGAGCTTACCTATGCTTATCACATGTTCTCCTATATGTAATAAATGCCACAATCAAGTTATGAAGAGTGTTGCAGGAGCCAGGAAAGTCAATGAGTATGTGGACATCTTCCTACTGGAAGGCTTGAAGCTCAGACCACATCATGGTTCACTCTGAAAGGCCAGGGTTTTTCCTAGCCTGCAGGAGTGCTCAGTAAATGTTCAATAAGCCATGTGGCTGTTTTCCTGCCAAGCATCATAAAAATGCAAACATTATTTCAGCAGTCTATCCATGGAAATCTGCTGTTGATTAGGGGACACAATCATTTTGTGTTATATGGTAAAGCTCTCATTTCTGCTATTTATATTCACCAAAGTGCAACACTTGACAATTTTCATTTGTTCCTAGAATTTCAAGGGGAGGAACAGGCAATAGCAATGTATTTGTGTCCTACTCTACAGCCACACCGTCCAACACAGAGCCTATAGCCCACGGTGGGGCTACTCAGGACTGAGATGTGCTGTAAATACAAGCTAGACACTGAATTCTGAAGACTTAGTACAAAAAAAAAGTAAAGTATCTCATTTATACTTTTTCAAATTGATTACATTTTGAAGCAATAAAATTTTGGATATGATGGGGTAAATGATAAGTAAATATTGCATTAGTTTCACCTACTTTTTGAAGTTTTTATGTGGCCATTAGAAAATTCAAAATTACATAGATGGCTTACAGTGTATATTTACTGGAGGGGCTGCTCTACATTCTGCATTTGCCTATGAGAGCTATTTTTCAAAAGTTTTTTACTCAGCTCAAAAAGCGGAATGTAGGTTTACTGCACAGGTGACCTTTCCTGCAGGGTCTAAAGCAACATGCTGGTGTATGCCCTACTGCTTCCCCATCAGCTGCTAGGAACAGCAGCCGGTTTGTTCTGGCTTTAACTGGAAATGACATGAGGGGGACATGTGGTCAGCAAAAAAGGAAACATAAAGGTGGCAGCAGGTATGTGTTCTAATCACTTTTATAGAGCGATTGACAGGAGTATCTAGAAAAAGTGAAAAATGAATGTGCATAAGAAATAAACTCTCAATTAAAATGTATTTTCTTAAAATCAGTTACTAAAATGGCTTTATTAAGAATAATTCATTCATTCTATCAGTCACAAATACAAGGGTACCTCAAGAAATTCATGGAAAGATTTGTATTATCTTTTAATTCTATTTTTGCATGAATTGCTTGAAGTACCCTCATGTTTATTAAACATCTGCTGTGTGCCCAGTGTGTTCCAGGGGCTGGGGATCCATCCAGGAACAAACAGTCCACAATTCCTGCTCTCACGGAGCTGACCTTCTATTGACTCCGTGGCCATATTCTGAGAAATAGTTCTGAAATTCTTTAAAGTTTTAAATAACATACATGAAGTTAGAAATGGACCAGGACATATGGAGACCTTCATCTCTGCGTTAGCTATAGAAAGTCCCTTGAAAATAAAATGACTTCAAAACAAAGCTGTAACAATGCTTAGTGTTTTATTCTTTTTTTTTTTTTTTTGTCTTTTTTTGTCTTTTTCCGTGTCCGGCAACGGATCGCAACCCTCAGTGTTGCCCCCGTACCGGACCGGGGACCGGCAACGGGATCGCAA